TCTTATCTAGATGGAACAACTGTATATTTGTGGAAAAACTGTGTCTTATCTAGATGGAACAACTGTATATTTGTGGAAAAACTGTGTCTTATCTAGATGGAACAACTGTATATTTGTGGAAAAACTGTGTCTTGGCCTTTAGGGGGAACTATTAGTGATAAGTAATACCTAGCTTGCATTAGGGGTTGTGAAAGAAAGCGACAATTCATAAGTGGTGAAATGAAATTTGTATCTGTCAAGACAGTGGTAAAACAGTTTCATAGCATAGATCATATTAGGGAACGTGAGTTTATAAAACCTGCTTTTTAACGCCCTAAGTGTCTGGATTAGGCACTTTTCTCAACCATCATCTGTTGAACATAGATCACATTTTTGGACTATCTGTATAACTTGAGGTTTGTGAGAACCTTCCTGTCCGTTACCTCAACGTCTTCCCCGTGACCAATGTCCCTCTCCGTCACCCACAGTGGCAAGGACTATCAAATGGCAATCTTTACCACAATGCCATGACTTGTGGGTGTCAGCATGGAAATCTTTCCTACAATGCCATGACTTGTGGGTGTCAGCATGGAAATCTTTCCTACAATGCCATGACTTGTGGGTGTCAGCATGGAAATCTTTCCTACAATGCCATGACTTGTGGGTGTCAGCATGGAAATCTTTCCTACAATGCCATGACTTGTGGGTGTCAGCATGGAAATCTTTCCTACAATGCCATGACTTGTGGGTGTCAGCATGGAAATCTTTCCTACAATGCCATGACTTGTGGGTGTCAGCATGGAAATCTTTCCTACAATGCCATGACTTGTGGGTGTCAGCATGGAAATCTTTCCTACAATGCCATGACTTGTGGGTGTCAGCATGGAAATCTTTCCTACAATGCCATGACTTGTGGGTGTCAGCATGGAAATCTTTCCTACAATGCCATGACTTGTGGGTGTCAGCATGGAAATCTTTCCTACAATGCCATGACTTGTGGGTGTCAGCATGGAAATCTTTCCTACAATGCCATGACTTGTGGGTGTCAGCATGGAAATCTTTCCTACAATGCCATGACTTGTGGGTGTCAGCATGGAAATCTTTCCTACAATGCCATGACTTGTGGGTGTCAGCATGGAAATCTTTCCTGCAATGCCATGACTTGTGGGTGTCAGCATGGAAATCTTTCCTACAATGTCATTACTTGTGGGTGTCAGCATGGAAATCTTTACCACAATGCCATGACTTGTGGGTGTCAGCATGGAAATCTTTACCACAATGCCATGACTTGTGGGTGTCAGCATGGAAATCTTTCCTACAATGCCATGACTTGTGGGTGTCAGCATGGAAATCTTTCCTACAATGCCATGACTTGTGGGTGTCAGCATGGAAATCTTTACCACAATGCCATGACTTGTGGGTGTCAGCATGGAAATCTTTCCTACAATGCCATGACTTGTGGGTGTCAGCATGGAAATCTTTACCACAATGCCATGACTTGTGGGTGTCAGCATGGAAATCTTTACCACAATGCCATGACTTGTGGGTGTCAGCATGGAAATCTTTACCACAATGTCATGACTTGTGGGTGTCAGCATGGAAATCTTTCCTACAATGTCATGACTTGTGGGTGCCAGCACATGCCCTCATTGACCACTGTCTGTATAGGTAGCTTTATGAATGTATCTGGTTTGGTTTCTAAATTATTGAAAACAATTGTAATTAAATTATGGCAGTTTTCGCTTGTCTGTCCTACTGTAGTGGAATAGAAAAACTCAATATAAACAAACAGTTTTCTATGACATACAGCCCAAGTGATGACCTCATTAAACAAATAAACTCCAAACATTCCATGTGATGTCCCGAGTGTCCTATCAAAGGCGTATATGAAGCTGCTCACGGAAAAGAACATTCTTAAGCACAGTGCATAGATAAAGACCTTGACCTATGTCTTCGCTATTGTTCAGAAATAGGATTCAATAGTTGACACCAGATTGGGGAGCACACGTCCCATCAAACAAACATTGAGCAATAACATGAAAACTTCTTCTTTTTTTTTTTTACAAATGCTATGCCAAATTTCACAATTTTAAAAAAAAGTAATATCTATCTATCTATCTATCTATCTATCTATCTATCTATCTATCTATCTATCTATCTATCTATCTATCTATCTATCTATCTATCTATCTATCTATCTATCTATCTGTCTCTCTGTCTCTCTCTCTCTCTATATATATATAATAGACCTATATATATATAATAGACCTATATATATATAATAGACCTATATATATATAATAGACCTATATATATATAATAGACCTATATATATATATATATATATATATATATATATATATATATATATATATATATATATATCAGTCTATCTATCACCTGTTTTCTTACATATTTAATTTTTTAAAATTTATTCAGTTATTTATTTGAAATAATTGAAATGATGATAAATAATTCTAGACAGCATGTTTTTGTAATAGGAATTACCTTACCACGTAAACGTGTGTTCTGTTTTACAGTTGTGGCGTATAGTCCATATTCTGACGGAGAATATTGCAGACCATTGCAGAGTGCTTCTATTTGATCCAACAAGTAACAGGGGTATTGATTCTCTCAATTAAAATTTCTACAGCAAGAAAACCATTCCTCGTGTCCATGTATTATTTACGAAGTGCTGAAAAGATTTTATAATATTTATTCTTTAAAAAAGCTATGTTTATAAGTACGTATAAACATTCAATGTGCTATGAAATAAATATCATTTTCACATCACTTTAAAAAAAATTCTTTAACAAATTCCGATTAGACACAAAACGGGTGAGAAATGAGACAACGGTTGAGAAATGAGACAACGGATGAGAAATGAGACAACGGATGAGAAATGAGACAAAATGAGACAACGAGGGAGAAATGAGACAACGGTTGAGAAATGAGACAACGGATGAGAAATGAGATAAAATGAGACAACGGGTGAGAAATGAGACAACGGATGAGAAATGAGACAACGGATGAGAAATGAGACAAAATGAGACAACGGATGAGAAATGAGACAACGGGTGAGAAATGAGACAAAATGAGACAACGGATGAGAAATGAGACAACGGGTGAGAAATGAGACAAAATGAGACAACGGATGAGAAATGAGACAACGGGTGAGAAATGAGACAAAATGAGACAACGGATGAGAAATGAGACAACGGGTGAGAAATGAGACAACAGGTGAGAAATGAGAATGTTTGTTGACCTAGTCTTACACAACACATTCCTCTATTACAGCGCTGCTTGTTCGCGTCGTTCACTGTCGC